AATCAAATAAGTTCACAGTTACAATAAAGAACTGGTTGGACTTAAATAACCTTTTAGAGCTGGGTTATGAATCAATATCCGCCTCGTCTATCACAGCATGTAATTTTATATTACAATATCCATATATAACGTGATACAGTAAATATTGTGGAAAACATCAATCAAAATCAAAACTGTTGTTCGGATAACCTGTTTAAACAACTTGTTTTTAATAAGCCTGACAAATTAACGGTACATCCTTGTCCATTATGAAAAAATTATATAAAAACCCAACAATGCCATAAAGCAGTAATTTTCTTTACAGTGACTTCAAACACTAAACTATATAAAAACAGAATTACACTCAGTTGGTGCCCCTAACAATGCAATAAATCCTACTTTCATAAAAGTTTAAATGATTAAACTATTTACTTTATACTAGAGAGCTGCTGATTCCACTTCATGGTCATTTTTTTTGAGGATGTGGTTTGTTGTTGAATTGTTTTATATTATACTAAGAGGAGTTTCTAACATGTTGTCAGGCCCATTTATATCAATAACAACACAAAATCCACCACAGCACCCAAAAGACCATAAAGTTGAATTAACACCTCTCTTTAAACTACAGCCTTTGTGGAGACGGTTGTTAGTTGTACCTGATAAACTGTTAAAATATGTGTACAACAATAACAACTCCACAGCTTCAGGTGGATCCCTGTAGGTGTACCGGGCTGTGGTCTCACCTGTGAGGAAGTGGAAAGTGTCGGTCTCCTCTGCGGTGTGAGCCAGGTCGCTGTATGACAGACTGTTGCTCTCTTTCCCGGAGCCGCTGTTGAACGAGGACACGGCCAGGTGCTGCACAAACAGCTCCTTCAAACAACACAACACACGGTCAGCAATGGGACAAACTCACGGTGAACTGGGGCCACTGGAGCAACCAGTTCAAACTCAAGCGGCTGCGTTCACATGCATCCGATAAGCTAACGGCGAGCTAATCCCTGTTGGTTAGTTAGTTAGCTCGGCGAAGCGATGATTGAGCATTAAAGTGCAGCTTACTGTCGCCTTGGTGGTGAGGAAGAGCGCGTCCTGGTTGATGCTGGAGACATCCGGAGAGCTCTTCATTATCAACCGCACTCGGGAAATCGGGAGGGAGATGGTTTTTTTGTTAGCCGACGTTTGGTCGTCTTTGTCGGGATTATTTTGAGACATCTTCATGAGGACGCGGCGCCAGACAGCCGGAACTAACGCTACAAGTGTTGTTTTGAACAGTGACCGAGTTCTTCTTCTACTTCTGATTAACGGTAGTTGGCGGTTGTTGTAATGGGTTAGCGCCACCTGCTGGAGCGGAGACCCCTCTGGAGAAAACGACTTCATGTGTCCAGTTATTGTTCAAAATAAATAATTTAATAATAATAATAATATAAATTAAATATTTAGGCATTGCTTCAGACATCCTCTGCAGATGGTGGTATAAAGGTTAGTTGAATAATCGATTAGTTGTCAAATCAATTGGCAACTATTTTGATAACCGCTTAATTGTAGTCGTGTTTAAAGAAAAGTAGAGCCCAAAATCTCTGGTTTCAGCTTCTGAAATTTGAATATTTTCTGGTTTCTTCAGTGACAGT